AAAAAAAAAAATTTTAAAAAGGAAAAAAAAAATACTCCAAGATATTAAAAGATTTACGTGAAAGAATATAGAAGCATTGTTTATAACAGCAAAAGAAAATCCCTGGAAACAATAAAATATTCAATGTGAGAGATGGCTAAATAAACTGTAATGTCTATACAACAAAGTATTACACAGTTATTAAAACTAAAATTTATTGAATGGCATGAAGAAATACCACAGACCATATATCAAGTGGGAAGAAAAGGATACAAAATCATATATGCAGATTGCTTCAAAATTTGTGGGAAGGGGAAACAGAACAAAAAAAATATATATGTACACAGAAAAAAGACAAAAATTTACATCCACATGTATGCTGTCAGTTTATGTCTAGGTAGTGGTATTTTGTTTTGTTCATATTTTTCCTATTTTTCTATAACTGTCTGCAATAAAATGTATTTACTTTGTATTCAGGCATACATGTTTAGCTAAGCAGATATGCAAACAATCCACATACTTTATTTGATTTGAATAGTATAAAAACTTGATATATTTATTACTTTCAATTCTTAGGAAAAACAAATAGCAAATACCTTTATCTCCTTTTTCAGACCACCAATTACAAATTGATTGTTTCTGTGGTGTTAACAATCTAAAAGACAATAAGTAAAATGCTTATATTACCTGCTGAATTGACAAATTACTCCAGAAATTATAACAATTTATTTTTTAAGTTACCTGAACTGCAAAAAATCCTGTGGGCTCTTAATGGCTGAATCTCTTGAATGGTTATTAACAGAAGAATCATTAAATACCTGAACAAAATATATCAAACATTGAAATTAGTTATATAAAACAATGAAAAGTTTTTGTTTCTTATGGCTGCTCAGGACTCTCCTTTAGTATTCTCAATCTTGTTACTGTAACAAATATTATCCACCATAATTATAAACACTAACTGAAAACACTACATAGAGAACATTAAGTCAAATACTAGGAAACAAAAAGGTTTCAGATTCTTAAAGAATTTGATGTATGTACCAAGTATTGTAACTATGGTTGATAGTATTTCTACATTTAAATTTTTATAGTATAATATTTATAACTAAAGTGAGCCACAGCATTTTCTAAACTGATGACTTGATTTTTGTGTGCTCTATTTTCTACTCTCTCTCAAATTGGATAGGAAAATAGCAGGTTAAAAAATTTAAGCCTGGAACCTGAATGGAGAGTTTTTAAGATTCTTTCTTCTAAGA